ACGCCAGCGCCACCTACATATTTCATTAAATTATATTTCTTTTCAAACATGCATTTCACAAGGTGTTCCATATTTTGTCCATCCACTGTATCTTATCTCAACAAACAATATCTATCCATCTAAAAACATATCTATTCATCTTACATCTATAATACATATCTATATCATCTTACATTATTAATAAACATATACTTACATCTATAAAAACAACTCTTAATCTATATCATCGTATATCACTCTCTCATAAAACAAAGTGGCGAGAGTTCTATCAATTTCACTCATGCTAACAGCTAAAATTTACATAGCGCGCGAGGAAAAATATTAAGGATTTAAAATCCCACATTTGGCCTTCCTGCTATGCGTCGACCGAACGTTGAAAAGTACAACTCCACAGAGAACGAGCGCTTCTCTCTTGTCCACTGCATGATCAGTACTAAACCTACATGACATAAAACTTTGAAATGTCATTGAAAAGATACCGCTCTTTTCAATGAGCACCACTCCACCCTTCGTGGAATAAATGTTGCTAGATGGTGCACGTTTCAAATAAGAAAGTTTCCTTGCCGCACCCTGTACAATAATTAATCAAACACAATGCATTAAAAATATATGTACAGATATAATAGATCTACAACACAAAATTCTACTATTTATTCGAATTCTTAAATATAATCAAGTGCTCTACATAACTATATTCTTCGCCTTAAAAGAATACAGTCTTTGTCTCTATAATCTCTATAAAAGAGCAGGCATTAAATACCCCATCTAAATCATTTGGCTGATTAGCATACCTGCCAACTTCTAAAGATAAAAATTCAGAAGATTTCTCCCCCAAATTCAGAAGATTTCTCCAGAATTCAAAGAACACGAAGAATTAATATCATGCTTTGATATTAAAAATAATTTTACAAATAGAAAAAAGAAAATTTACTTACATTAGTAAATCTCATTAAGTGTAAAAAAAAATTTATTAGGAACATAAAACAGACTTAATGATAACATAAAACTAGGCGTGATGGCAGCGCTTAGCGGCACGTTGTATTCGATGAGGAATGCAGTAAACAACACTCTGCCAAAATGACATCGGCATCAGAATTTGTAGCCGAAATTTGAAAATATCATCCACTTTTCTTTGACGTTGTCGAAGCGAAGCATTACTTCATCCTTTTTAAGACTGAACATGCTTCAAAGCGCTTCTTCCACCGTAACTTGTTTGAAGTCAAACATGCACACAACAAGTCACACACGCATTTGCAACGTGTGCGTTATTATTCCTTTGAAGGATTCTTAATTGTGGAATTGGCTGGTAGCAGGAGAAAGTATGAAATACAGTTTTTTGAATTTTTCTAACAAGACGTATTAAGAAATTAGTACCACGTGCAAACAAACAAAAAAACAGAATGCGCCAATCCCTGCCTCGTGAGTCTTCCCTGCTGCTGAAGCGAACACGAAAAAAATAATCTGGCACCCACAAAGAAAAGACTGGGAGAAACAAGTTCAGCGCATTGGATTGGCTGGTTAAGCGGCGAGTGGAAACGCAGGTACTGGATTCGAGTAGTCGGAGTGGCGGTAAAAACACGATGCAATTGGTGAAAAATCGCTGAATTGGCAAAAAATTCTAAAATTTTGACAAAAATCACTAAAAACACTTGAAAAAGGAAAAAAATCGTAAAAAATGGATTATGATTGTAAAATCGTAAAGACAAACGCATTTTCGTAAAAGTTACGAAAAATTTGTAAAAGTTGGCAGGTATGCTAATGATTAGGGATATGATAATTTACTCCTAAACCTTTTAAAGGCGGAATATGTTGGATGACTGTCAGTTAAAGGATTTGTAAATATTGTAATTACTTGTATTTGTAATTATTGTATGTAATGTAAAAATAATTTATTCTGGAATTTCTTTCTAGCTTTTACTAACAAAATGGGCCTATTTCAAATTTCTGAGTCTTTCTGATTCAGCTCTTGAATAGTGAAGATTACTTTTACTTTTCTTTTATTCCTTTTCAAAGCGAACAATTAGCTATAAATTAATAATTTCTTTTGTTTGGTCAGTTCAAAAACAGATTTTACCAGAAGACTTCCACTCAACAGCTTTCAGATAACACCATGCCATTCCCCCCCCCAGGGTCTTCTAAAAATAACATCCAACACATCCCCACCTATGCTCTCTTTCTCTTTTCCCCTTCATTCTACATCACAGCTTGAATTTCAAACTCTATTTTGAGTATGAAGAAAGTAATGGACATATTGTCTAAGTTTCACAGCTAGTAAACACATAAGTTAATTAAATTCATTTCTCGCCTTTAATGTATATTGTGTAAATTTTCTTTATTTTGTATGAGGGTTGGAACTTTAATAGTGGTAACACAGCTGAAAAAACGCTATGCAACAAAACCAAAGAATATCGCGTATACCACACGTAAACTACATACCTACCTTACCTCTCAGCAAAAAGACTCGCCCTGCCTACCTCACACGCGAGTGATGCGAAGAACGGATCCTTATATTAGCTCGCGGTCTAAAGTAAGTGTTGTCAGGATGTTTTCAAAACAAGAACAACGATGTTGGATAAAAATTGAATGTACCAGAGGTCGTACAGCATGACAGTGTCATCAAAGGCTTCAAGAGGCTTGAGGGGAATCTGCATTGTCTTACAGAACCGTAGCAAGATGGGCGAAAGCATTCAATGAAGGATGCAAAAACATGGCAGACATGCTGCAGCCAGGGCGTCCGAGTGTTAGCGATGCAGACGTGCAGCTGTTGCCGCACTAATGGACAGTGATCGCCGCCAAACGATTTGTCAGCCGGCCAGACAAACAGGATTAGCACATACAACTGTGCTGCACATTCTGAAGGAACGCCTGTCCATGAGAAAAAGTGCTTCACGATGGGTTCCACATCAATTGACGGAAATGCAGAAATGGCTACGATACGATGCTGCCCGAACCCACCTGGAACACTATGAGCACGAAGGAGATGCTTTTTTATGCCATATCATTACGCTGGATGAGACTTGGGCCTGATCGTACCAGCCAGAACTGAAACGCCAATCAAACTAATGGTGTCATTATGGGTCACCATGATGTTCGAAATTTCGTCAGAACCCCAGCAATGTGAAAGTTATGGTGATTCTCGTGTACGACTGTGATGGTGTCATCCTAACGCATACTGTTCCCCCACAGCAGACCGTCACTGCGCAGTATTACTGCTCATTTTTGGAGCACAATCTCCGACCAGCTTTGAGAAAAAAACGGCGTCACTTTCTGCAGAACATTCCTCTCATTTTGCATGACAATGCTCGGCCGCATGCAGCGCAAGCTGTGACTGATTTGTTCAAGTGATGGGGCTGGGAAGTGCTTTACCATCCAACATACTCCCCAGATCTAAGTCCTTGTGACCATGACTTAATTCCTAAGATGAAGGAACCACTTCATGGCACTCGCCTTCCAAACTGTTTCTGAGATTCTTGTGGCAGTAGACTGGTCCATTCAAACTATCAACAAAAACAGGCGCTGCTACAAGTATTCTGCGACTTTCACATCATTGGAAATGGGTTGTACACAATGCTGGCGACTATATTGAAGGACTGTAAAACATGGTGACATGAATCACTTTTGTATTCCTTGTAAATAAATAGTTGCCACTATTAAAGTTCCAACCCTCATACATTCTTAATGTTTCATTTCAGTCTTATGAGACTATATTTTCGTACAATTGTTCTTCATTGTTTAATTGTTTTAACAAAGTTTGCATTATTTTAATATGATAAAAGGTGAAAGTCTGGGGAGCTATTTTCTCAAGAAAAGAAATAAAACTCACTCTTATAATAACTGTATATTCCAATTAGAAGATTGCATTTCAAGTTAGACAGAAGAGCTAATTTTTTACTGCTTCTTAATTAGCAATTTGAATAATTTTAACTTAATCTTACTAAATAGCTTTTTTAGTCTTGTTTCTTACTTGAGAAAAGATGAAACATTTTCACATCTATTAATCATTGTTAACTGATCTGAAATTAGCTTATATCCCTTGAAAAGTCAACTAATTTCCGGTCAATGGCAATAATTTCTTAGTTTGTTGGTTGCACTTTCACTTTTAATTATTCAATTTTAAATATGCTAATGAGTAAATCCATTTCAATACAATTCTAAATTTAGTACTTTATTTTCAAAGGAGATAATCTAGTAGATATTCAGTAATCTAGATTTCTAGTAGCTATTCAATAATTTACTAGAAAATAAATTATTTTATATATATATGTCACATTTTTTAAATATAGAAGAGGAATTAACTTGCCGTCGTGATAGCTGAGGGTGAAGACTTACAAATGAAGATAATAAAACATGAACTTGAAGAATTTCCAATCTTTATTTTCACACATATTCAATTAATTTGGCAGGCAGTTATTCAATCATAATTAAATATGGTAAATTTCTACGTACATTGATTCTAAAATATTAAAACACAGGCAGTAAAATAGACAGGGAAGCGAAGCGAGGATTTATTAGCAAGGTGGAAGCTAGGAAAAAAGTGATCTAATGAACTGCCAGGGATTTTTATACCAGAGCAGGTGCAATTCTAGAGACAAGCTATGATTGGTTAGTTATTAGTTTTCGTTACTCTTTTCAAGCAGTGTTACGTAACATCGAAATATCTCAAATTTGGGAACAGATGAATTTAGGGGGAGATCACCAAATCTAGAATGTTAATTTTGAGGTTGCCAATTACTTTTTTAAAACAGCTATCGTATTTTGTTATATATTACGCACACACACACACACATATATATATACACATACACATATTAATTTATTGTTATCCATAGTAAATATTTCTATTCTATAGCATGTATTTGTTCATGATTTCAATTTTGAAAACTTCCTTTTTCACATTAAATATGAAAAAGATAAATATAATCTAATAAAAAATATAATCAACTCACATAAAGACTTAAAAATTAATGAAAGTTCAAAATTAGCTGTGGTTTACTGAACTGTGAATTAGAATTAAATTATGTCATTAAAATTTCTAATGCAATAAAATAACTCACAAAGTTTTCAGGAAGCTGGACAGATTTTGCACCAATAAATTTCAGAAGATCTTCTGAGATACCAGTATTCCAGGTAGAAATCATTTTTTTTAATACTCTATCGCTATTTGTAATATTTTGCAAACCAGTTGCCTGAAATAAATAATGATAATAATGAGCATTTATTTTGTACATATCGCGGGAAAATTAATTGTGATAATAAACTATACTAATAACTTAAGCAATTGTGTATATTGTATATATGTATTAATTTTTTTAATATATATGTATTTATATTAAAGAAAAAACTTAGTTATTTTGTAATTTTTCTTCCTCGTATTCTCACTATTAAAACATCTATTTAAATTTCAAATTTCACAAACAATTTATTTTTGAAAAATATTTTTACAACTTTTTTCAAAAGGTAATGAAATATATAACTTATACCTACACCTAACACATGTATTTTCCAAGGCCAAAGACGAACTAAGTTTATTTCACAGATAAATCTCCTCGCTCCCAGTGATATATGCTTCGTTTTCTTAGGATATGCTTTATTTTTCTTAGTTGGCACAATGTCTCAAATGTGATATGGGAGTTATCACTGCAGCCCACTGTATAACATTTCACATGCAATGTTTTACGTATAAAGTTTTAAAAGGGAATAAGTGGTGTAAAAATTCCAAGAAATCTTACTGAAGGGAACATTTTTAGTGTTAACCTTGTTCTTATGAATATTATTTCCTATTTTACTCTACAAATGTAAACTACTGGTCAATATATTATTTAAAGATTAGATATTTTCCTGCTAGAAAAGTGCTTTAAGTTCCTGCATGTAAATGTGGCAATAGAATTTAATATGCATTTATCTCTTCAGCTTTTAATTTTTTGCTTCATTAATATTTGAAAAGATTTTATAGCATAATAATTTTAAATAATAATTTTTTATGTTTTTTCTTGATTTGCATTTGAATTGATTGTATAAAGCAAGCTTTTATACACAGGGTGACCTAGAATTCCATTAACATTTAAAAATTCAATAATTTTCACCGAATAATGCAGATCGAAATGTAAAAACTGACATGCATGCTTGAAATGTCATCGAGTTTTATTAAAGGCATAAAAGTGCTTAAAACAGCCAACAGATGGTGCTTCATATGATAGCAAAAGCAATAATTAGCATAACAATTGATTTTTATTAAAGACTATGTTCTTTATACCAGATGTTCAACACATCCTTCATCATCATTCACAACAGCCATCATTCATCAACAATACCTACATTTCCTCAAAGAAAAAGGGTCCAATTATGACTGATGTGATAAATCTACATCACATTATGACCAACACCCAGAGGCGAGGTTAGAAAAGTGACAAAGGCATGAAGGGACTGATTCACTCTCTGACTACAGCTCATTTCATGCACAATTCTCATGCAGCATCACTGACATTTTGCTGCCCGGAGCCATATGTTGGCTTCCCCCTCCTTTCAACAAAACCTATGTCATTTCATGTATGTGTGTCAACGTTTACCTCTCTAACTAGCTATTCAATGAATTATTGAATTTTCAAATGGTAACAGACTTTTGGGTCGCCCTGTATATAAAAATAAAATTTAAACAATCTGTATAAAAATGCAAAGATTTTGATGAAAAGTAAATTTATAAATATTTAACCTAGTATACTTGTTTACTGCTTGTTATATTTAACCTAACATATTAAATAAGCCTAACACGCTTGTTTTGCATGTTAAGTTTGAAAACAAAATGTTCTTGGGCACATAGCAATGCCTCAAGATGAATATGTAGAAATGTTAGTAGAAAATTAGTTCTGTAGGTGGACCTTACAATTTCTAAGGTCCACCTACAGAAAAAATTGAGGACCTATCAGCAACCGGGAATTGAATAAATCGAAGTAATCATCTATTCAACTGATTTCATTTTGTAATAACTTTCTAATATTATAACAGATATACGTGAGATGCATTAAGATTAAACACAATCTAACATTTAACATTACTGTAAAATAAATTTGAGAATAAAACCAACTCCCTAAAAGTCATCAAATAATTAATATTAAATTAGAAAAATGATTTCTTGAAGCACTGATAGTTTACATTTATAAAGTTGCACATATTTTAAAGAAGATTTGCATTTTCCTAATGATTCAGATCTGCATGTTCATGCATAATTTAAAAATATTATTTCATTTTTTAAAAGTACAGTGGTACCTAGATACAACATCTGCTCCAAAATAATTCCAACATGGTATATATCTTATTTGGATGCAAATTTTTGTTTGGTATACAATATTTGTTTCAAGTATGACTAAGTAATCTGATGAGTCATGATTGTGCCCCCTACTCTTGTTTACCTGTTTTAAGACTTGTTTATTTCTTAAGACTGTCCATGAAACATGAGTACACCTGTTGCTACTATTCAGTAAGCAACCCACACTAAATATGAATTTTCAAATGATTCTTTTTTTTTTTTTGATTTAATATAAACTCATTCTTAATGAGTTAATTAGTTAATTTTGGAATAGTTAATTTTGGTTAATTATTAATGAGTTAATTTTGGAATGTTAATAAGAAGAGTCAAGCAACAAAGAAAATTGTTAGGATGGCCATGGAGACAAAAATAGCGATTGCTGAAAAGTATAAGGATGGCAGACGTATTCAGCACTTGGCTATTGCATACCTTATGCCGAGTATGATGGTGTCCACAGTTGGGAAAAACAAATACATAATTAAATCAGCTAACATTGTGAAAGATGGTAAAATTGATTACCAACCAAAGGTCAGAGATGCTAGAGAATGTTGAAAAACTGCTTTTGATCTGGACAGCAGAAAAACTGCTATGTACAGTATCATGCATTGTGCTTCAATTATGTACGGTATACAGTATACATTTCAGCCACTGGATATGTATTTTAGTAGTAAGCAGTGCTATAATACTAATGGGATTTTTTTATAAGAACAGACTAACTATTTTTTCTTTTTCCTTATTGAAAAAGTTTGGTATAATATGTATAAGGATCCGGAATAGATTAAGGACATATGCAGATGTACCAATGTAGTCATTAAAAAGGAACTATTACAACCCAAATATAGTGAAATTTTGTAATTTAAATTAATAGATAATTACATAAGCATTTTATTAACACTCTGTTTTAAACAGATATTAGAACAATTACATATTAACCCTCTGTGTGCTGCTCGATTTTGATACGTTCTGGTCCTGAAATATGGGGCATTTTTATTATTATTATTATTTTCACAGTCTTCATATATTACTATTCACATCTTTATAAACAAATTTAGAACAATGCAGGAATTTTAGTAGATTTTTAATTTTTAAAAAACATACAAAATGGCTCATGCAATTTTAGCGTGCATGGAATAAAAATATAAAGATACACAGGATCTTTTTGATTTTGATAAATACACATGCTAACTAATTTGCACAGATAATAATATTACTTATTATTATACAAAATGTTTTTATTGTGGTAAACTTTGAAACATGGCTCTAAACATAATCCAACTTTACATTCTTTACACCAAATGTGAGTCTCTTTACATATTTTTCCCATTGTTGTCTTTTTCAACACCTTGCCTTCTATGCTCCATTTTTATAGAACTTGGTGATATGTGGCTTACAAATTCTCTTCCTACAAGGTGAATAAAGTTCACTAGACTGTACTGATGAGCACATAGCAGAAGAGTATTTATCAAAGATTTCCTTAATCACAGCTAGCTTGAAATCAAAAAAGGATTATTTTGTGTTTATTGTATTTCTGCATATTATATACGAATTCCACATTGCTTGATCGAATACATAGAAAAATACTTTCTTGTAATATTTACGAAGTTGTTTTCGGGTACTACGGTAGTACAACATCTCCTGATCACATCTGTCAACACCACCCACTGTAAAGTTATGTGTAATAATAAATCCCTTTCGGCTATAGTTTTTCTTTTGTCATCCCTGAATAAACTGATATAGATAACACATCATGAAAAGAACTAAACATATTTACTATTTTCTTATCATTCCATAATGAAAGAAGCAACAGTGTTGATCGCATTTGGCTGTGAAGAAACAATAGTACTCCCTTACAATGATATAAGTCCGCAGTGCCATCTAGGTGCAAAACAACGCGTGAAATATGAATATTACAATATTCTCAGCCTACACGGAGAAAAAGCGTGATCCATATTGAAACTAAGAGAAATAAACTTACACACGCTATTTTCACGTGACCCGTATTACGAGACGGATTTCGCATCTCGTAGAAATCGTGGGGGCCGTATGTGAAGGGTTAAAAGGATCCAAAATATCCAATCTACCAAATATTCATGTCTTTTTTTATTTGATAATATTCCAAATATTTTACCCAATGTATATCTGTTTCCTTCTTTCTGTTTACTTTTCTGAGTTTGTTTGCTTTAACAAACAAATTATTATTCCTACAGATCAATCACCTACTCAAGTATCTGCTGATTTCTTAATTCTTCAACAGTACCCCTTACAACAAAAATTTTCTTTTGCTTCATGTAATCAACTTCTCCTATAAATCTTCTCTTTGTTTTTGAATTTTCAGATTGCATTAAAAATTTTTGTTGTTTTAAAAAACTGCATTTATTTATAACGTGCAGAAGTTTTCTGAGTACTGTATTTGCCTGCGTATAAGATACACTTTTTTCTTTGAAAATAGGTCCAAAAAACGGGTGTGTCTTATATGTCGATACTCAGTTTTTGATTTCATTCATTTCTGGAAATTTCCTCTATTCAGAGTTATGCGATTTTTTTTCTTGTTTCCTTGCAGATGGTGGGAATATTACAGTTATGTAGAGTTCAGTGAATGCGAATGCGCTGTCATCGATGATTACAGCTGGGTTTGTTTAAACTTTCCAGTTTTTGTGAATGATTTTTAAGTATGTGAAATTTTTTGTTCAATTTTCTTAAATTTGTTAGTAAGCTATGGCTCAAAAACAACATCGGCATTGCTATAACATAGCATACAAGCTACATGTCATTGTATATGCTAAAGAATATGGAAACAGGGCTGTGGAGAGGCATTTCAGGCTATCCCAAACTGAGAAAATGATAAGAACTTGGTGTAATCAGGAAGATCTAAAAAAAGCAATT